ATCTGTTTAACTTCGTTTCTCAGGTAGCAGATGCATCTAGACGGCTCAGTTATCTTAAAAAAGTGTTCATCTCCGTCTCTGAGACCCCGATTGCCCCCGGCATATTGATATCGTCGACCAATCGAGACTTTTCAACAGGGCTAACTTCTGAATCTGCAGACTGCATCGTCGGCCTCGGTTTCAAATGCCGGCAAAACCGGCACTTGTGCAGGATTCGCTTGTTTCCGCAAAGCGCCTTGTTGGTTCCTCTGACCATTCAGCGCTGGCGGAAAGGTGGAATCAAGCCTTGCCGAGGTCGTGCCTTCGTTCTTTTGCCTTGTGCTTGCGTCCGATGAAGGAGATGCACGATGCATGTCTGGATTTGAGAGGGTATGCGTGTCTACTGGCAGAGAACCTGCTTCGGCATTACAGGATGAGAGGGTTCGTTGGTCAGGTTTTCCGGAAAGGAGGACGAGGAGAGTCCTCTACTGTGCTTTGACATGCAAGATTACTGCATCAATTCGCACTGCAGCGTTTGAACCGGGCGTTTCAGGGTGATTGGGGACAGGATGTCCGTGCAATTGGCGTTGTGAGGACAGCAGAGAGAAATCTCCAATGGCAGATGGACGCATCGTGGGTTTTCTTGAGGCCTCCAGCCTCGGTTGGCGAAGGCAGATTATGGTATAAAAGGCTCCAGAATGACTTGTTGGATGGCCGCATTCATCAGCAGTCTCAGTGAACCGCATCGTTGAGTTTCGACCAGACCTCTACAGAACGACAATATGCTTTCCAAGGTTTTCGTTATTGTTGCAGGGTTCTCCTTGGCGTCCTTTGTGTGCGCTGCGCCATCGCTGGAATCTCGGGCTACCCCCGGTTCGTGAGACAGTGGCCGTGCAAGCACTTATCTGTCTAATTGACATGCGGCAGATCCATCCGCTTTCACAGACTTGCAGCGAGCCGCCGAGCTCTCCTCTGCTGCCTATACGGGCTGCATGGGCTCTGCTTTCGATGTCACCATCACCAAGCAGATCTCTGATCTGGCAACTGATACCCAGGTGCCTTGGCCAGTTGTTCATTGAGAATAAGAGTGAGCCTGGACAGTCGCTCACACGTGCAATGGCTTAGGGTTATATCGGCTACTCTACCACGAAGAAGACCATCGCGGTCGTCATGAGAGGGTCGACCACGGTCACGGATATCCTCAACGACGTCGACACCACCCAGGTCGCCCCGACCTTGGCTGGTGTCAGCTTCCCCTCCGGCGTCACGATCATGAAAGGCGTGTACGGACCCTGGGCCGCCGTCCACGACGAAGTCATCGCCGAGGTCCAGAGCCTGATTGCCCAGTATCCGGGCTATACGCTCGAATCCACGGGACACTCGCTCGGCGGCGCCCTGACGTACATGTCTTATATCGCTTTGGCGCAGAATTTCCCAACCAAGCCGATCAGAAGCAATGCCCTCGCGGCATTTCCGATTGGCAACCAGGCATTTGCCGACTTTGGCACTGCGCAGAACGGGACGCTTATCCGAGGAAATAATGCGAATGATGGTGTTCCTGTAAGTGCTGTGCTGTGCAGTGAGGTGCTGAGTAGAATCCGATGTTAGTGCTAACGCTATGAGCTATCAGAACATGTATGTCACGGCGCCGTATAACTTTGTTCATTATGGAATTGTAAGTCTCTCCGGGTTTGATTTCGGGTCCCAAGTCCTCGAACCAAGCTGTCAATGCTTTCTCTTCTTGCTCATTAGGTGTCTCTGTAGGAGTACTACAGCTACGGTACTTCGGGCACTACCCTCAGATGCTCGGGCGAGAGGGATCTGCAATGCTCCGCTGGGAATGGCATGGTAGGCGTGACGGCAGGGCATTTCAGCAGCTTCGGGATCACACTTGGATCCGCAGGCTGCGGACCCTAGATTCCAAGTCAAGCGATGTTGCGCTGTACAGAGCGCATCGTCGTGTCGCGACCAAAATTCGCGTCGGCTGGAAGACTGAAGGTACGGTACCTAGCCTTGAAGACCAAGAGGGGGGTTTCGCTCTGATCTGATCTGATACTTCGTTCCTTATTATATTGTACGGAATGCTGCAGCATATAAGATATGTACAATGAATGCCCCCTATAGGCCAGGATTATCGGCTATCCAATTCAAATTTGAAGCCCTCTTCATGATCGGTGCGTTCGAGTTTCTCAAGCTGTGCCCATTGCTCCGGGTAGTGCGTTTTGGCCCACTTTTCGACCTCATCTTTCCAGTATTGATACGGAATGGCATTGTAGAGGCGCCCAATTCTACAACATGAACTGTTAGCAGTGTCGCCACAACAACGGCGTCAAAATAAAGGGTCTGTCAGAGGACAAGGTGACATACGAGTCGTAAGTCGGAGAGCATCCGATCTCCTCTTGCATCTTGTTAATCGCCTGGGTCGCAAGCTCAAACTCGCACTGTGCAGCCAAGGCTTCGACATATGCCATATACAACCGTCGGTCAATCTCGATCTCGAGTAGTTTGACCTTGTCCATCATCCTCATCGCCTCTTGGGTTCCATGATGGTGCTTCTCGCACATCCTGAAGAAGGCCAAGATTGTCCTGGTTGACGGTCCTTCCTCTGACTGCAGAATGTCGCGGAATATCTCCATGCTCTTATCTGGCATATCACAACAGGCGTAAGCCAGCATCAGCTCGTTTAGGAGTCGGGTGTTGAGGTCCACTTCTACATCCAACTTGAGCATGTTGTGGACAAGCTCCAGGTTTTTAGCGTCTTGCATTTGAGCAATGCCTTGGAAACACCGCGCATAAGTATCAGGCTTTGGCCGTCGCGCGAAGTCCTCAGCTTGGCGCATATGCCCAAACACGAGGACCGCGAGGTCGCCTCTTTTGCGCTTGAAGAAGGACGTCATGATCTCGGTCCTCATGCTCACTCCTGTTTCTGGAAAGGCGACCTGCAGCAGACCGTACGCCTCCCACGCGTCTGCACTATCCTGAGTGGTATCCAAGATGTAATTAGTGAGCGCCTGTCGAATTTTCGTCCTCTCCTCCGAGTCGTACGATCCGAGACGGGGGCGAAGCAATTCTGAGACACCTTCCCAGTCGTGTCGGTAGAGCAAAAGGTGCGTTAGCGCTGCGAGGGTGTCTGCCTCTAGACGGACGTTGTTTTCAAATAATGGGTCCAGAAAAGCGGAAACACGGTCATACAAGGCATCATCTTTCCCCAACAAGCAAAGCATACTTAGGAGCCTATTCATTAATGGCAAATTCTCAAGTGTGAATGAACCGACGTCTTGTAATTCTTCCACCGATTCCATCGTCTGTCTCACATTGCCAGCGATTATTTCAGCTTCCAACCGCAGGAGACGTGTTTGCGTGTCTGGCACAACGTTCCATTGAGACGTTAGCGCGGCAAAGTCGGTGGCAAGCTGCGGGTTCTTGACGGAATTGGCGTATTGAATGAGGTTATTGATGTGAGAGGCAGTGAGCGCTGTCTTCACGTTAGGATCCTCCGATGCCCAGGTCTGAAGCACTTCCGAGATCTCAGAGGCGCTCCTGCCATGGACCGCTTCCCAAAGCAACATCATGCCCACAGTCTCTGATTTCGGCGCCTGAGAGACAGACTCAATGATAGGCTTCGCCCACGATGTCTCGGACTTGAGAAGGGCATATTTAACCACAGCTTCCTTGGTAGCAAGCGTGGGCTCGATCTCGCCAGAAATTGGACATTCGTACATGATTTTGACAGCCGACAGTAAGTCTTGCTCAATGAGCATTTTGACCAATTGCTCGTGGGTTTCGCTATCGAATTTGATACCGAGCTCATCGAATTTCTTCTTGGTGGTCCAGCGGAGTTGCTGCTTATCATTGTTCATGGCAAAGCCTCTCATCACCGTAAGCCATGGCGAGGGCTTGGTCTTGCGCAGCCTGCTCCAAAACCTCTCGACAACGTGCCGTGCTTCCTCCGGGTTGCCATTCAAGGCCTGGAATTTGATATAGGCAGAGAGGGCAGGTCGACTAATATTATTCGTACCATAGCCATGATCAGCACACAGTTCCAGAAACGCGAAACGTGCTACCTTGAGAACGGCTTCACGCGATTCCGGAAGGCATTTGGCTTCTGACAGGACAAACAGCACATTCTCAAGGTTTTCTGTGGAATACATTGTCTGCCAGTCTTCAGCTTCCAGCTCGGATTCATGAGATCTAACGTATTTCCATGTCATGGAGAGCAGTTGCGCCTGATATCCCGTAATGACTTCGGAATTCTCCGCTCGCGCCACGAAGAAGTCATGAAACGCCTTTGTCAATACACCAAGTGCAGGACCCCTGCTTTTGTCGGACAGAGCTCTCTTCAGGTCCCTCATCGGTTTCAACCCGGCCTCAGAAGGTAAAGTTGCAGGCTGGAGAGTATTGGCTGGGGGTGCCATGTTGAACGCGAAAAGGCTCCGTCGTTGAGCATGGTGCGGATTGATAATGTCTAGCCTTCGACTCCGGTGTTGTCGCGTAATCTGAAGAAGTCTATTGCAGCATTGCAAGGGGAATAAAGGCTCATTATTCAGGATAGCTCGAAACACTCGTCTGGTAAGATGGGATTGCATGTCGATAAAAGCCGGAAGAGGGATCAGCTGGCAGATAGGTCTTAAAACAATCCCCCGAGGCTCGAGAGCGGATCCAGAGTATTTATTGATTTAATAGAGTCAAACGATGCGAATTTGCATCATTGAGGAATGCCGAAAATCCCTTTAATTTGCTGGAAGTTGATGAAAGAGCAATAAAACAGATTCCTTGTCTAGGGAGACAGCAGCGGAAGTGGTGCGGCTCTTGGCGCGCAGCGAAAAGAAATCCGAACTGATGTGCTCCACTTCCTGACGGTCTCCGATCCAGAGTCGAGCAGTGATTTCGTCTCATCTCCAACCGTCCTCCAGTCTGAACTTGTGAAAGCCGGTTGAAGACAGTGACGACAAGATGGTTTTCAATCTCCTTTCTTCATCACCTTTTCGGTCATTAGGCTTAAGTCTTGGTTCCTCATCGACATGCCGATGGAGTTCAACTCTGCCCAGCAAGACAGCCCATCAACGTACTGCTGCCGTGTTTCAAAGTGCGTATATCTCCTTTCCCTTATTTCTCGAAGAATAATTTGAGAAATTCTCTCGGAGAATGCTTCTTGGACCTGCCGTTGACTTGTGTTTAGACAGAGTGTTCCAGCGCCGTCGCCTACCAAACCGCCAAAAATTCCTCGAGGACCAAAAGGCCCAAGGTGAAAGTCGAGCCCTAGAGAAGTTTCAGACGCGTGATTGGAAAGCTGGTGATATCTACGCTCCTCATGATCTCAGTCCGGCAGAAATGAAGAAGTGGAGAAAACGCCAGGGCCCGGCAGCAGATGCTTTCGACGCTTTGAACATGAACCCGCTTGATCTTTACAAGGTTCGCTTGAAATCCAGAACACTATGCTCTCGTTCTCATTTGAACGCAAAGGTGGCGGTAGATGGCTAACCAGGAATTATACCCACCACAGAATTTTTCTATAATGTCCGAATACATCACCCCAATGGGCCGCATAAAGCACAGAAACACAACCGGCCTACGACCCGTCAACCAGCGAAAGATTGCAAAGGCTATCCGGAGAGCAATTGGCACCGGCCTCATGCCAAGTGTTCACAGACATCCGGAGATCCTGGCAGCGGAAGCAAAGGCGAGGATGGAGGGAACCCCCATCTATTAGACGCGGGAGCTCGTTTGCGTGTATTCAATATGATGTCGAAATATGCACGGCCGGAGTTGTTTAGTTTTCATGTCTTGTCGCATTTATCAATCCCCAAGATGTTCGCAATTGGAGATACCTGTACTACTACTATTGATTGAATTGAGAAGGGCTATGTTATGGATAGAATCTATACCGTCACCTCAGCTATTTACACAATCAGACTTGATTCTTTAGATTTTCAAGTCATTCCTGCTTCTCTGTTCCAGGGGGTTTTGGTTGTGGTTGCTCAACTGACCTTCCCCACTAATACATACGTCAAAGGTCCCCGTCGAAAGTAGTGGTGGAGTAAACAATCCGCCATCCTTCAACCTTGTCAACTGTCTACACCTTCCCCCCACCCCAGCCTGTGCGCTTTTATATTGTTGACCATTTGTCATTGTCTACTAGTCCAGTCATGCCAATCACCAATGGTTGATTTCATCTGTTCCTTCCTTTAAACCGATATAAGTGCTGACTGGACTCGTAGAATCCATCTGGGCCGCCAGCCCCTCCACCACGAGGGGTCAGCCCACCCACTTGTCCTCGGATGCGAAAGGAGAACGTCTGGCTTATGCGGTATGAATATCGTGGTGCAAGCTTTACTGACTATCAGAATCAACGATAGCTGATAAAATTTGGCATACAGTCCGGTAAATCGATCTTCTTGCGTTCGATCGATAACCCCTCTATCGCTAGGCAGTATACCGAACACAAGGCACAAACGACAGTTGCTCGCTTCTCGCCTTCTGGCTTTTACGTTGCCAGTGGTGACGCTACTGGTCTAGTAAGAGTTTGGGATTGCGTCGGCGAAGGAATCACAAAGGGCGAATACAGCATTGTCAACGGTCGTATCAATGATCTCGCCTGGGACGGCGACTCTCAGCGCATCATCGCCGTTGGTGATGGAAAGCAGAGGTACGGCCACTGTATCACTTGGGATAGTGGCAACACTATTGGTGAGATCTATGGGCATACACAGCAGATCAATTCCGTCTCCATCAGGCAACAAAGGCCGCTGAGAGCGGCAGCCGCTGGTGACGACAAGAATCTAATCTTTTACCACGGAGCGCCGTTCAAATTCAATACGGGAATTAGGGACAAGCACACGAATTACATATACGGAGTTGGATTCAGCCCCGATGGTTCGACATTGGTCAGTGTTGGTGCCGATCGAAAGATCTGGCTCTACGATGGGAAGACTGGCGAACCCAAAGGTCAGATCGGCGAAGGAGAGCATAAAGGAAGTATCTTCAGCGTGTCATGGTCGAAGGATTCGAAGAAGTTTGTCACCGCAAGCGCAGATCGAACCGTGAAGATCTGGGATGCGGAGGCAGGCAAGGTCTGTCAGAGCTGGACCCTGGGAGAGGAAGGAAGCTCCAACGTCCGCGATCAGCAAGTGGGAGTGGTTTGGCCTTCCGGCAGAAGCGACAATCTGCTTATTAGTCTATCACTCAGCGGTGACTTGAACTACCTAGTCGAAGGAACACCTGAGCCTAGACAGGTAATTCAAGGTCATCAGAAGAGCATAACATCCTTGACTGAATCCCACTCTGAGGATAAGGACGAGACACTATGGACCGGCAGCTTTGATGGAAGGGTGTGCAGCTGGGACGTATCCACTGGAGCCGCTGAGGAGGCGGACGGGGACTGCCATTCGGCATACGTCGCAGGTCTCGCGTCGACTCAGGAAGGAACTGGCAGGATCTACAGTGTAGCTTGGGATGATACGTTACGGTCCGTCGATGTCGGCGCCAGAACATACACTGGAAGTAACTCCAAGCTGTCTGGACAGCCCAAGAGTGTCGCCGCCGGTGACTCAACAGTTTTGGTGGGTACATCCGAAGGCGTTGAGATCTATAGGGATGGAAAGAAGACTGGCGAATTCAAACCAAAATCCACAGTTACTGCTGTCGCGGCTCATGGCAATGTCGCGGCGGTTGGAGGCGAAGATTCATCCGTGCAGATCTGTGAAATCTCCAACTCGAGTCTGTCCCCAAAGACAGATATCAAGGCCTCTCGGAACCCAGTGTCTGCTCTTGCATTTTCGCCCAATGGGTCTCTGCTCGCCATTGGTGACTCGCGAGGCCGCGTGCTCGTGTACCAGGTGGCCGATGGCAGTCTGGTCACTGACCGTTGGACGGCACACGCAGCAAGAATCACTTCTATTGCCTGGAACGGAAGTGGCACACTCTTAGCGAGCGGGTCGTTGGATACGAACATCTTTGTGTGGAGTTTAGCCAACCAAGGAGATTGGTTGCAAGTGTCCAATGCTCACAAGGAGGGTGTCAATGGCGTTGCCTGGCTTGCAGGCGGGTCTAGGATCGCTTCGGCCGGCGCTGATGCCGCAGTCAAGGTTTGGAAGGTAGAAGGTTTGGAATAGGATCATCTCAATGCGACAAAGCCGATAGTGAAGGCTACGCTTGGAGTTCGTAATAGTTGATTGCTAATCATGCTTTGGGCTTCGGACTGTCGATGGATATATTATCAGAATCATAGCATAACATCTGCACATATTATCTTTTGTTCGACTACGTATTGTAACAATAATAATAAGCAGTCTTTGTCTGAGTGCGTAATTGATGCTTTCAAAGGACGTGGCAGTAGTAACTATGTATCGAGTACCATACTACTCCGTAGTATCACTACGTAATGGCTGCCACGCGCTCCACTAAAGTCGACACCCAAAATATGATTGCCCAAACAGTCCGGGCAACGTCAAGAAAGTTTGTTGAACATATGCGATTCAATACCCAATAATACTGCATAAATTTACAGCAATGGGCTCTTTCGTGTGCCTTGCGAAAGGCAAAGGACAATGAGCTGGTAACATGTCTCTGTCTGGGGACTCGTCTAGAGGTTCCCGTCGCTTTCTGCGCCCAACGAAGGTAAACATGGACCGCCCTCCCCAGCTCTCAGATTTAGACATCGGCAATTCTAACTTTTGTATTTCCTGCAGCTTCGACAAGCGACGTTTGTTCTACCAAAGACTGGTCAACGCTTAAGAGGGCTTGTCAATTTACGGAGCTCACATATTGTAACCGGCAATGATGATGAGGAGCGTCGGGGCCTTCTCTCCGGGGAAGTCTCCGCGAACCGTCAAGATGTTATATTGCGGATTTCGGGTCGAGTTTCGGACGTATGGGTTTGGACGCGTGATTTTGTCACCTCCGAGCCCGGAATAGGGGTTTTAAAATGCAGTTTGGCCTATCTCCTCGGGTCTCTTGCTACTTTCATTCCCGCGGTTGCGGCCTTCCTGGGCCATCAAGATGGCAAGCATGTGGTGGCTACTGTCACAGTATATTTCCATCCAGCGCGGTCACAAGGCAGCATGTACAAGGCGCTTATTTGCGCTCTCTTGGCCTTCCTGTACGCAGCCTTCATCTCCCTAACGAGCATGTGCGTTAGCATGTTCTTCCAGGATACGCTGGACATGCGCGCAGTTGGCCATGCCGTTGTTCTTATAGTGTTCTGCGGAGGTGGCTTGGGTTTCATAGGATGGACGAAGCAAAGATTCGGCGACCCGCTTGTGAACGTCGCCTGTTCCCTTGCTTCGCTTGCGTTGATCACCGTGTTGACGAAGGAAGGTKCGGTGCAAAGCGGAGATTTGTCCTTCACAAAGGTCGTCCAAGTCTTGAAGATGGTCATCATGGGCGTCACCGCTGCCATGGCCGTGTCATTCTTGATATTTCCCATCTCTGCGCGGAAAAAGCTGCGCTCGAACCTCGCTATTGTGACTGAGACTCTGGCAATCATGCTGGCCCTCATTACGAACAGTTTTCTGAGTGGCTCTGAGGAGGAGCTTCAGACGGCCGAGTTCCTCAACGCAGCTGAGCGACACAAAAAGGCATATGCCCAACTCGACAAGCTTGTCCGAGAGGCAAAGCTTGAGCACTTCGTCGCGGGAACAGAAAAAGAATACAGGCTAGAAAAGAACTTAGTCCGATGGGTCCAAGATATCACACACAATATGGGAGGACTACGCAGTGCTGCTTCACTGCAATTCCAACTTTTGAAGCAAGCAAAGCTGGTTGATCCAGTATCTTGTCGCGATAAAAGGGATGCTCCCAATGGTACTGACCATGTGCCATCGCCGAGTCCGTACTCCTTGCACGGGCACAGCACACTTCTCGAATCAATCGACGAGATGCCTGAACAACAACTTGGACGAGAGGAAGAGGCAGCAGCTGAAGATGATTACCGACTCAGTGGAGACCACTTTGATCCAAATTCGGCCCGAGGATCTTCTGTCGAGCAAACTCTTCATCCCGAAGACTTGTTTGCGCTGTTCATCAGCCACTTAGGGCCTTCCATGGTATGCAATCTCTTTGTGATCGAACCACATTGAGATTATGCTAACAGTCAACAGCGATCCCTTGCTTTCACCTTGAAAGAAATTTTCAAAGAGATTCCATTTACGCCTGCGCCTGACTATAAAGTCTCTGTCAACAGTAGGTTCCATGTTAGTCTTGATCGCGCGCTGGAACTTTATCAACAATCGCGAGAGGAAGCTCTTAAGGTTATCTATCGCCAGAAGGAACTTTTACAGATCCAAACGCCGGAGGTTGAAGCGGATCTCGAGGAAGTTTCTGCCAGCTGCGGACATTTCAGTTTCTCGCTGCTGGAATTTGGCGAACAGCTGAAAGACCTGCTGGCTATCTTAGACGAACTACAACTCGAAGCCGAGGAGAGACCTAATGGGAAATCATGGAACTGGTTAAAAGTATGGCGGTGGCGAACAGCCCAAACCCAGAACAGGAAGCCTCTCGATTCTGGTAAGTTCTGTCAAGTGGCACAAGTAATTCAGTTTATCTACTTGGTCCTAATGGAAAGATCGTACAGAACAACCGTTACTTGGGCCAGCGGTAGGAGAAGGGGTGACTCCTGTGGCTTCTACCAGCCCTTCTGGACTGGAAGGTAGACTGACACCAACAAAAAGCCCGAAGAATCTGCCCGCGAAGGAGCGCCTCAGTTATCGAATCTGGAAATCGCTTGGAGTATTCCGACGTGAAGACACAAAGTTCGCGATCAAGGTCGGCACAGGAGCAGCTCTGTACGCTTTGCCGGCCTTCCTTGAATCCACACGGCCATTCTATTCTCATTGGAGAGGTGAATGGGGCTTGTTATCCTATATGTTGGTGTGTTCTATGACAATCGGGGCGTCCAATACCACTGGTTATTCTCGATTCCTAGGTACATGCCTAGGAGCGATCTGTGCCATCACGGCATGGTACGTGACCGATGGGAACGTGTTTGGACTGGCCGTTCTCGGTCTGGTCATGGCAATGTGGACATCTTATATAATTGTTGTCATGGGGAAAGGACCGATGGGTCGATTCATTATGCTCACCTACAATCTTTCTGTACTGTACGCGTACTCTTTGACGCAAAAAGAGGGTAGTGACGACCAGGATGAGGGCGGCGACTCTCCCGTCATCACCGACATAACGCTCCATCGAGTTGCAGCGGTTTTGTCTGGCTGCATCTGGGGTATCGTCATTACGCGGCTTATTTGGCCTATTAGCGCGCGCAAGGAGCTCAAGGACGGCCTAAGCCTCTTATGGCTTCGCATGAGCCTGATCTGGAAGCGCTACCCGTTGTCCCTACTGGCGAAAGGGGAACATTTCATGGGCTTCATGACCCCAAGGGAGAAGCTGGAGATTGAGCGGTTTCTGTCTCGTCTGGAAGCTCTTCAAGCAGCAGCTCGTGCAGAATTTGAGCTGAAGAGTCCGTTTCCCGATGCTGCATACAGCAATATACTCCGTCGCACAAGGAGCATGGTGAACTCATTCCACGCCATGAATCTAGAGATGATCAAAAATGTGTCTGCTTCGGAAGGTGAACTGGCTCTGCTCAGTTATACAGCTCAGGAAAGAGAGCATTTGTCTGCTCGTATCAGCCACTTATTGTCGGGTAGATTCTTGAACATCCCTAACGCATTGCTGTGTTGTGACCAGCTAACACTTGACAGTCATGGCGTCTTCTATGAAATTGGAATATCCGCTGATCGATGTACTTCCGAACATTGAGCATGCAAGAGATCGACTTCTTGCCCGTATATTCCACTATCGCAAGGACCCGGAGGCTTCTCGGTTGACAACAGACGAAGATTATGCCTTGCTCTATGCCTACAGTAAGTTGAGCCTGGTCCCTTTCCGTCGCTCATGAACGCATGGGCGTTCTATGGAGCTACATACTGCAAGTTGATCTGACATTGACTGATCCTAATTCTAGTTCTGGTGACGGGTCAATTATCGACCGAGATTGTGGAGATTATGGATGAGATTGGTAGATTATTCGGCGTGCTCAATGAGGACGTAGTCAAGTTAGTTTACTAGGCGTATCTTGAATGAAACTCTTTGGAGCTCTATACGTAGTCTACCAAAGGTCCATCACCTCTTAGATCATCAAGGTATCTCCGTAGCATTGTCCTCTGCGTCTCTGCGACCTGTACGCCTGGCCGCAATTGCGGTCGGTTGTGGTGACTGGAACCTCATATTTCTGCTTTTGGCGGGGAAGTCGTCCACCTCCGCGATTCACCCCCGACCTCCTTCCATCGCTTCGGTCATCAACGTGCTACCTTTTTCATCGAGGTCTCGACCATTTTTCCGATCCTTCATCATCCGCGACCTCCAGAGCAAATCGGGGGCCAGTTTCATGGCATGTATTCTTGTTAATGAAGGCCTAGTTCTCCCCACTTCCGGCTTCGCGCAGCCCGTCGCGCCTCTGCGAGCCTTGCAATCATGCAGATCGATCCGGCAGCCTTGAGTCGGACAGACTCTGCATCAACTGCGACAGCACCATCCAAGACCGCAGCAGCTGGCCCTGTGACGACACAAAAGTCTACAAAGGCTTTGATATCAGTTCCGCGATTGGATCTTGAACCTATCTACACGGAACTCAAAGCCGCTATCGGTGAAAACTGGGCTGAGTACAAAGAATCTACAACTCTATTCCTTCTGGGTATGCGCGCTTGCTTCCAGTTCGCTTCACTTTGCTTGTTTTGCTCATCATCAACTGACAAACTGATCCTCTGCGGCAGGACATCTCAATCAAAATGAGCTCGCGTCGCGCGTTGATCACATCATTTGCGCCGACCAGAAGACCGAACACCTACACAACAATTTTATCTGTGCGATCATAGGGAACCTCACAAGAGACCTCCCCGACCATGGCGTGGCAAGTTGGGTGTCAGCGAACGACAAGCCGTCGGTCGTATCGAAACCCTCCTCTGGAGATGCCGCGGAGGCAAGGTTGAAGACAGAGGTTATGCAATTACCTCCCAGAGACCGTCGGCGAATAAAAGCGATTCCAGAGGTATGTCACCAAGAATTCTGTGGATTATGACGGGCTCTGATTTTGTCGTCATAACCAGCGTGACCCTCATGAGACCGTGCCCAATGAAGTGGAAGAATATCATCTCGCGAAACAGATCAAGCTCCCTAGCCAAGTCCCGGCTAGTGCTGGGGGTTTGAATAAAACAAGTAAGTTCATACACATCATGAACACTACTTTCATCAAGCTGGACTAACTGGTCGGTGACCGCCAGATTGGGAGTTAGAGATTCGGAAACGCTACGCGCAACCCTTGGCATCGGAAACTGGCGAGTTTCCAGACGCCGAATCAATACATGCGCGAATGATACCGATATGCTATGAGGAGTCTGTAGTTAGCGGTGCAGGCTTCCCGTGTGCTGAGTTTATGGCGATTGCAACAGAGACTTTCGTTAAGGAAGTACTATCCGTGGTGTTTTCCCGTACCAGGTGCAATGGCCCGTCTGGCACGATCAATGGCATGATGATGCGCAAATATCGACAGCAACTTGAGCTAGAGGAGCTAGCCTATACTCGCGGCGAGATCGTTAAAGATAGCGCGACTGGGCTTCTACCCGTTGAGGCCAAGGAAGCTAGGAATCGGAAGCCTCTCGGGGTTCGCGATCTTCGACTAGCACTGGAAATTGGAGGAGGAGTACTCAGTCATATGCCTCTTATTGTCGACCATATTATGGGAGGTTATTTCGACGATGAATTGGAGACCGACAAGCAAGACCAACTCGATGAAGTTGCCGACACTGCCGATAATGACACGAGACCGATCCAGTTCACAGATGAAATGGAAGTGGAGGACGATGCAGAGTTGTTGGACTGGGAAGGAGCCGCCGCGGTAGACCGGGCTCAGTTGGGCTCGTTACTAGATGAGTGCCTTTCCCTGGCCTCATGAGCGTTCATTGTCGACCTACAGTCGGTCTCCCTGGCTGCTACGTCTATGTTGGTCTCTAATGACCTTGTCGGACAACCAGCTCCCCGTTCCCTTTATTCTCCTTTCCCTTCCTCCTCACTTCCCAGTTCATTTATGATTTCTTAAGTGCATGTGCTTAGCATGTTTCTACTACTGCGCAAGGACAGCAGCATGCCGGTCTGGAAAGGTGGCATCTGTTAAGGCGTCTTTGGAGTCACAAAGGACTGTTGTCATTGGTTGGACATCATGAGTTTGCATTTGGCATGGAGTTCGAACTGAAATCTCTGTTGTATCATTTCTTCCCACTTTTTCTCTTATTGTCCCAGTATTTGTTTATTGGAGGAGTTTTGCTTCCTAGGTTTCAGCTTCGAAGCGACGTCGGAAGACAAATCAAGGCCGCACAGCCTCGGCAGCTCATGCTGAAGGGATGTATGCACGATGGTGAAGAAGAGATGGAAATGACAGTGCTCAAATGTGCTGCGAGTCGCGTTTGATACCCAGGACTCGGTAAATTTACTGTTCTCTTTAGCCTTCTCTTTTTTCTTTTCCTTCTTTTCCCCCGCCTCTCTTTTTAAATCAGGGTATGTCGGGGGTAGAATTTGCATATTTGCCCTTTGAGGAGGAGATATGAAGCTTTCTTAAGTGGGTATTGCTCTGTTTGTTGTTCTTTGAGGCTACTTCCTCTTCATCTTACTGTATATTACTAGAATTGCTCTTGTGATAGTTTTGCATTGACCTATCTATTGAGAATGGCCGGCCTCACATCGCAGTGGCACATGTCACACTGGTTAACTGCATTGCTCCTCAGATGTAATGCTGTCATTGCTTTATAAGATTAATAATGTAAATGTCTATCATTCCTGCTTCTAGAAAGCATTCTCATGAGTCAATTATTCGAGCTTGCCATTCTCCGGAACGCCAAATCCGTGACAGCATCAATGCCTGGGCTGAACAATGCAATAAAACCTGATAGTGTACATTTAATTCACTGTGTGAGACGGTCTGCAACCATCTTGAGAATCTCTTCTGTCGACTTGCGTGCGTTCGCTGGATCCTTGGCCACAGACTGCCAAACCTCGCCATGTTTGGGCTCAGTCGAGACGCACTTGGCCACAACGTCTGCTCGTTTTTCCTGTACGAAAAATCACGTTAGTCGCAAGACATGATGGGAATAAATCAGAAACGGACGACGATGAACGAACCTCTGTACCATGTTGCAGCAGGAATTTGTAGTACCAAGCCCAGCCATCGCCGTGATCGCTGTCCGACACGATGGCTTTCTCGAACCACGTCATGGCTTTTTCCAGTCGACGCTCACCCCAAAATATACGGGCTACTGTGATAAAGAGGATCGGGTCGTTATCGACTTTCTTGATCGCCTCCAAACTACGGGCCTTCCGTTGCGCCCGGGGCTCGAGATGCCAGATACTCTCGCTCCATAGTAGACCGGAGGTTGGAACTTCCTGCAGAGCCTTGGCCATCAAGACCTTGGCCTGTCCGATACTATTTGCCCGCCGTTCCACACGGACACTCTCTGTCCATAACTCAGCGCTCTTTGGGACGGCAAGGCGTGCCCTATCAAGTACTGAACGAGCCTTGACAACGGCACCAGACTTCTCTTCAAGTCTGGAAGCCAGGAGCCAAAGCGGTACCGACTTAGGACAAGCTCTGGTACCAGTACTGTAGGCCTCTCTGGCTTGCGGATATTTGTTCTGGTATTCGTAGATTTGCCCCTTCATCATCCAAAGTTTATCGGCCTTGGGATACAGCTGCAGTCCCTGATTCACCAGATCAAGCGCCTCGTCGATGTTGCCCAGTTGCCGTTCAAAAGCGACACTCTTGATCCAAACACGGTCAGTGCCAGCCTCCCGTCGGGCGGTTGCGAGGAGTTCCCTAGCTTGATCTGTCTGGTCCGCATCCGCTTCCAGTTTGACAGCAGCGAGCCAGATGTCCTCATTGTTCGGATTCTGATTGAAGGCTCGCCCGAGCACGCGTCGAGCGTCGTCGATCTCGCCAGCTTGCCACTTCTCCTTCGCGAGCTGGAGCCACAGCTCTTCGCTTTGAGGGCATGCCTCCACTGCCTTCTCAAGGACTTGCCAGAGAGCTTCTTTGGAGCCATGGTTACGCTCCAGGTCGGCAGCCGCGAGCCAAATAGATCGACGGTTGACAAAGACACGCAACGCATAAGCATAAATTGCTCTTGCAGTCTCGTACTTGCCCCGGGCGATACTGGCCTTCGCATCGTCCATCCAGATATCCTTGCGGTCATCGTCTTCATCAAGCCCCCATCCGAGTGTTTCGCGGATGATTGCGCCACATGTGAGAATGGCTCCCTCTTCCTCGCACTTCTCAGCTTCCGCGATCCATTCCTCTCTCTTAAGCATGGCATTTTCCCTTGCCAGCGCTTGGACTGCCCTCTTCATCACATTGACCTTTTCGAAAGTGCCCATTTGCTCCTGCAATCGTGCAGCCGCGATCCAAACTTCATGACTCGCAGGGACGGCCTTGCGAGCAGCATTCAGAACCTTTTGCGCATTTTCAGGAGTTTCTAGACGGGCAAGAGCAAGCCATAACTCAACAGACAAAGGAATCATTTCGACTGCCTTCGCCAGTAAAAGACGTGCATCGGCGGGATCTTCTTCCAGGTTAACGGCTTCTTTCCAAATGGTAACAGACTGGGGCACGTGGAGAATGGCTTGCCTAAGCACATTCTTTTTGGCGCGAGCGTCGGACTCCAGCCTCATGGCCTCAATCCAAAGTCTTGTGGAACGATCATTATTCTTGATTGCATTGGCTGCGATAACCTTGGCATTGTGGCCTTCGTTCAAACGAATATTTTCGAGCCACGCATCCTCACTCTTCGGGCATAGTTCGCAACCCTTGGCAATGATGTTCCTGGCGGCCACAATTCTTCCAGCAAGTTCTTCCAATCGCGCAAGTGCAATCCATCCAGGAGCGTGCCTAGGATTCGTTTTGGTTACAGATTCCAATAAGACACGCACTCGCTTGATGTCGCCAATCTCGACTTCGCCGGCTTTCAGCTCCGACTGCGTCAGACTTGTAAGATATCCTTTCGGGTCGATGTTGGTCGCACTCCCGGAGGAAGAATCAGCAGTGGAACCCCGGGCGGCTTGATCAAGCCTGACCTTAAGCACCTTATCACGCGCAGCACTAATATCCGCAAAGTTCGTCATCGTGCCGTCCGCCTCGCCTCCACGGACATCCGTCTGGGCGCCGTCATCGGCTATGGTGGTTTCGAACTGAGTKGAGTCCCTTGCACTCGCAATAACACTGTCTGGTACCGCATAGAAGCGCTGTCGTAGGTTCTGCTTAGCTCTTCGATTCTTGCCTGTAAGGTCTCCGACTTCCGGGAGATTGGCCCATTGCTCTTCTGAAACAGAGGCTAGTGAGCGCTTCAGGTCGGCGAACTGTTGTTGAATTTTCGGATTTTTGCGTTCGTATTCTTCACGTTCTTGACGTTCTCGAGCTTCCCTATAGGTGGCGAAGGAATCAAGTCGGTCGTCTGTCCAAACAACGGGGGGTAAACCCGATGAACAACGCATCTCCAAGGTACAGCAATGGGGGGCATGTACTAACCTTCTTGCTTTCCGGCGCTTATCCATCTTCTCATCTACTTCTTTGTAGATGCGGTCCGCCTCGTCATCTTCCTGATCGAATTGCCCGTAGGCAAAAAGCCCAACCTCATTGTCCGGATCCTGGAAACGTTCGTCTTCCTCTTCTTCCTCCTTCTCTTCTCGTCCACCCTTTTCGCGTCCTGCGCCATATGCGGTTGGGGGCGCTGCTCCGAGAAGTTGCGCTCTCTTTGCAAGAGCGGCCTGAATCTGCTCAGGTGTAGGGCCCTCACGCGCAGGTCCTAGGTCAGAACGGGTGGTGAAGCCGGTCGCACCTCTACCTAAACCCGCGACATAATTTTCGGGCGCAGGCTGGTTCAGAAAATCCTTCCGACCTGAGGCCATATCGACCGAAGCTCAACGATAGACTGGCTAAGAGATGAAAACAAATAGAAGGGCAACATAAATTGTGATTTGATGTAAGACGTAGAGCTTTGGGTGGCGATGCCTGCAACAAAGTACCTCCGACCCGCTTATCTTATCAGGGTCTCCGCATTTTGAGGCATTCACTAGTCCACTACCAAGATCAGCAGTATAGCACAGGTATACAAGCAACAAGAAGGGACAGAATGAGACATAGAAATAAGTTGAAAGATTATGAGGAATTGGATTATGACTCCTGAATCATGACGCCTGGATCACTCACTCTCAGAAGTTATGTACTAGATTCCGAGTGGACGTGTTAAATGTAATCCTCAACATTGAAGTGAGCCCTTAATATGCTTCGTCACGTCTGTTTCGAATGCTTGTGGAATTATTTACAAAGCAGAAGCGGTTTCTATTATCGAACTGTTCATATTCACATCAGGAGAGGGCTCTGTGGCTTTACTTGTGCTCTAGGTCTTTCTGCGGAGCCCTTTTGCTATTTCAGCAAGTTCAACCCAATGTCTAGATGCAACCTAGTCGAACGACATACTAAACTCCATCGCAGGCCAATTCGGAGATGCGCCTGGCTCTTAAGGAGTCCCTTTTCTTGGCTGAATCGGGGTCAGGTAACAATCACACCGCTGAGCACATGTTTGTCCGAGATTATGCATGGACATATGTGATGCTACTAGCACAAAGAGAAAGGCTCTCCGAAGAATTAAGCCAAGGATCACACCAGCAATAAGATGCGGCATCTGTCAAAGCCGCGCAGCGGAGGCAAGGATCAAATTGTGAGATCGTTATAGTAAGCGCGAAAACTTATTAGATATTTCCAGATAGTTGACGGTTCTCTCACAGAAAAGCTACACCAAATGAGATTTGTCGGAGGTAAGATATGGTGTATAGGGTTGTTGATGCTTTGAGACGACGGCAAGCGGTGAGAAGACGATATCTGGCCCTGCAGATGGACTTGGGAAAGTGGGG